TAAGTCACAGTGTCAGACAGAACCTTTGGAGAGTGAGAATTAGCAAGCAAATTGCAGGGTAGATGGAAGTTCACCAGGTAGTAAAAGTGGAGTGGGGCTTGGAGAAAAGAAGAGAAAACATGCCTTGCAGCCAGGAAAACAACAACAAAAAACATAAAAAAAACCTGCATGGCCAGAAGTAACTTGAGGAGTGATTCGTACAGGTACAGTTTTGTGTGTTTGTAAAAATGGGCGAAAACTTAGATAGCTGAAGGAAAAAGAGAAGAGAGAAGACAAGGCTGATTGATGATAATAATTAGTTTCTCTGAACCCCTCCTGACATCTTACAGCATCATCCCAATCTGGTTGACCTGATGGAAAATTTTTCCATCTACTATCTCAAGCACAAAACTGAGTCCTTGATTACCCATTGTTATTTTAGGCCTCATATTTAAAGTAAATATGAGGATTATGGCTTTTGAGTTCTGGGATATTTCTGATTTTGGTTGAGCACAGTCTGCCCCCTACTGATCATTGTGGATGTTTTCAACCTGAATGGGTTTATTTGATAGCAAGAGTTGCCTTTGTCCTCAGGGACATTGGAGGGAGGAAGGAAGGGAGGGAATAGTCTTAACCTGTGCATCACTGAAGACTATTATGATGCATATATTTAAAATGTCTTGGAAGTGACCTTTTTAGCATTAAAAGCTTTACAAATTAGTGTGGCTGGGCCAAGAGTAATTTAAACAGAGCCCAGAAAGTGTGTATAAAGACCTCCATCTCCTGGTGCTTGTAATTAGACAGGATTTGTAGTGATGGAGAACATCTGAAGATCCAAAGATCAATGAGAAAAAAGACATGCATGTATAATTAAGAAAAATATTGACATAATTTGAAAGCTGAGTGCATTTGGAGAGAGTGCTTTTGATGGGGACGGGAAAGCATGAAGGAGGAAGAACTCCAGGGAGTTACAGATTGAGTTCCATGCTCCGGCCAGGCATACTGGAAGGGAATCGGTGGCACTATCATACTGTTTTCTATTGTACAAATAAAATTTTATTGCCTCCCCTGCCACAGTAATAAAATCAATTAAAGATTAATATTAACTAAATAATTCATAGTAGAAAAGAGATTATGAATTCTTGATCTTGAAATGGTACCATAAATATTACGCAGGAGAAAGATCGGGTAAACACTGCTTATACAGCAGCTCTTCACTCCATTTATCTAAGTTCCCAGAAGCTATAAAATAATGGCACATCTGGCAGCAGAGAAAGTGCTGTTGCACCCAGACAGCTCTTATTGTAAAAGCTGGTCAGGATTTTCAAATAATTATCTTGAAGTTGTAGTTATACTTTATCATGAGAGGCGTGATGGAGATACCTGCCAAAACTAATTTTTTATAGTGTGTCTGAAATTTGAGAGTCATATTTTATGGGTTACTTCAGAATAGCTATGAAAATTAAATCTCTTACATATTCTTATTTAAATATGTTTTTATTGATTTTAGAGAGAGGAACGGAGAGGGAGAGATAGAGAGAAACATCAATGTAAAAGAGAAATGCTGCCTGGCTGGGCGTGGCTCAGCGGTTGAGGGTCGACCTAGGATCCAGGCGATCGGGGTTCGATTCCCGGTCAGAGCACATGCCGGGGTTGCAGGCTCAATCAGTGACTCTGTCATCATTGATGTTTCTCTCTCTCTCTCTCCCTCTCCTTTTCTCTCTCTAAAATCAATAAAGAGATATTTAATAAAAAATAAAAATAAATAAAAAAGAAATATTGAATAGCTGCCTCCTGCACACCCTCTGCTGGGGATTGAACCTGGAACCTGGGCATGTGCTCTGACCAAGAATCAAACTGGTGACCCTTTTGGTGCATGCGACGATGCTCAACCAACTGAGCAACACTAGCCAGAGCTTCTCTTACATATTCTTTATGTGAAGAAAATGTGATGAAGCTGGCCATGGGGCTACGCAGTTGGCATGACTCAGATAACACGACTGAGTTTCTCACAGTATACCCTTTGATTTGGCTTTTAAAAAAATAGAAATGAGAGATTTCTATTATTGCTGCAGTTTTCATAAAATGAAATCAGCTTTAAATTATGCTGCTGAATTTCTGTTTTGTTGAGTTTGAAAATTTGTTAAATGAATAACTTGGTACTACTTATCTGATTTCCATTCATAAGAGTTAAATTTTAAATTTATTAATTATATTTATTAATTTTATTAAATCCAGGAATGCTAATGCATGTCACTTGTATCTGAGAGAAAACTCTTTCCTTTGCCTTGCACTTTAGAGGTATTTCCTATTCTTTACCATCCAAGCACATCTAAATCAACCCTCGCTTAAAATCTTGGTCATCTTATTACTTTGTTGAGAAGGTTCACCAATGTTTTTTTATTTGTTGCAAAGATTATTCCCAAAAGAAACTGCATAAAATTATTAGTACTCTATCAAACAAATGAGAACTTGAAGAACAAGTTTCTTGTTGTTCATGGTGTTTTCTGTTTTGTTTTGTTTTGTTGAGAAATGAGTTCATTTTGCGTTTATAAAAACATGTACATAAAGATGAATTTCTGGTGCCTCCTGAAGACACAGTATAATTTCAAAGACCCTCTGCAGCCTGGTCATTGCAAAGGGAGTTTTCATCATGTTGAACATCAGGCATGTTCTTCTAGAACATGTCTTAATGAGAAGGCGATCCCTCTGACTAATATTGTGTATAAAATTTCCCAGAGAAGTGAGTTAAGGATGCCGATTCTCATTTTAATAGTTGAGGATGGAGCCCAAATAGCTGGAATTTTACCTGCACCCAGGCGTTTCTTATATGGAAGCTACACAGAACAGACTAAGAGACCCTGTCTTAGGTTTTCTAAATGCCATTTGGAAATGTAATAAGGGGGAAAACCAGGATTATCTTACCAGCTTCTGGTATTAACATGGATGGATCTTCCTTGAATTCTTTTGTTTCACACTTATTCTAATGGAGTTTGAGTCAAGAACACACCTAATTTTTTTTTTTATCTGTCTAGTAATTAACATAGAAGAAGCTACTGGAATGAGGGCTGAGATCAGAGTAACTATTAGGCAGGAACGAAGAAGGACCCCTTGATGATCACTGTGAATATGTCCAAAAACCATATGGTGGAATGGCAGGAGACTGGGGACACCACAGGAGCAGGCTGCCAGGCCATTCTGTTTTGAATAAGGGCTTTTGGAATCAATCTTCAGTCTGAGGGCTGACAAATATTCACGATTTCTCTACCTCATTGCTGCTACTAAAAATGCAGTGAAACATTCTCTACCTAAAACGCCGATGTTCCTGCAGCCATGTGTGTGTCTAAATACATATCAGTCACTTTCAACAGTAACAAACATGGGGGGG